CGACTTATCATTTTGAATGATAAATTTTAGTTGAATGTGGTGATGAATGATGTGATGAATGTTGTGTTGAATGTGGTGCCCAATGTGGTGCCAATTTCACAGTAGTGCGCAAATCAACGTGATCACCTTTATTTGAGTGATCTATTGAAGTTTTTAACATTTTTTGTCGTTTTATCACACGACAGAGATTCAAATTGATATCCCCCAGTAAAAGGAGATCTTTGTCAATTTTCGGAGTCTATGTTTGAGCGAAAATTACGTCGACGAAGGGGAAATTCGTTACATTTTATAAGTCGCCAAGTGTGAAGGCACATTGCTCAAGGGTTGTTGTTGTTGAAGTGTTGTTAAACAGAACAATTCTTTGTGTGCTCCATACAGCTGACAGAAAAAGCAGGTGTGTGGTGTTATTTTGTTGTATTTATACCAAAAGGTGATTGGTTGTTGTTGTTGTAAAGCCTTAAGGCAACAATGTTTTATCTCAATGTATGTCATGTGTGTTTGGAATTTAATTTTTTATGTGTTTTCAGTTTTTTCCCATAAACGTTGTTTGTTAATTTTTAGTATACTTTTATTAACTAATATGTATGATGTACAATGCATCCTCCTATATTATAATTTGACATTGTAAACAATTTACTTCATTCGCCGCATACTAAAAGATGATGACTTAAACAAGTCGAAGCATGTTTATGGTAAAATTGGTGGGTTGTTGTTTCAGGTGACAATCCAAAAAAGCAACAACAATACAAAACTTCATTTTCATTTTTAAAATTTTCTTTAATAACTTACTGCTTTATCTTTTCACAGTTAACATAATAATGATTTGATTGTTGTTTATATATCAATTAGAGGATGAAGATGAGGAATGTCAAGCCATTGAAAATTTATATTCAATCATCTTTAAATCACAAGAATTTCGGACATAATTTGAATCACAGCCATCCTCAAGTTCAAGAAATTACAAAAGAAGAACAGACAGATTAAAGTTTAATGGGGAAGATGGTGGTACAGTTACATCAGGTGAGCGGTGTGGCACTATGTATATTATTGTTTGGGTATGTATTTAACTATACATTTACTCATCTACATCTACTCACCTTAAGTTGTAAAGCACTCACCCTTACTTTTACACCACTCACCCTTCCTTTTACAATACTCACACTTACTTTTAGAAGACTCACCCTTACTTTTAGAGGCCTCACCCTTACTTTTAGAGACTCACCATTACTTTTAGAGGACTCACCCTTACTTTTAGAAGACTCACCCTTACTTTTAGAGGACTCACCCTTA